GATTTTGAAATCAATGGTTATGAAATGACAGAATCTGCCATAATAAAACTTTAATCTGAATGGACAAAAACGTTTCCACACGGCTAATATTTCTGCTTACGTTTTGTCTTTTAAAGATTGTGACACAGGAAAATAAATATTACAGGTACACAGTAAATCTTAAAAATAAATTTTATTTGACTGCACTACTAATATTTCATTTAATGATACACACTGAACAGTCCCAACCATCTGCATACTTGAGTAAGTATTACCACTTTTTCTTAATATAAGTAGCAGAAATTACTTCTCGACAGAGCCTTGAACCATCAAGGACACCATCACTTATCCATCTTTGGCCTTTGTGCGTCAAGTTATTATCTCTCTGTCTTTTCCATTCAATCTGGTTTCATCTTCATAATTTTTGGACCGGATAGGCTCTTTACTCAAACTGCTCGTTTTGTAAGGAAATGGTTCAGAAAGTCTGAGGCAAGACCTGAATACAAAGTGGAAGTGATTTTATCATGAGTAATGGACAACGGTCTGGTTTCTGCACTTTTGGACATTTTAAGAAGTGACACAAGTTTAGCTTTGAGCACAAGGGCCAGAATTCAACATTTTCTCTTTTTTTCTCTCTAACTCAACAGAATGGGATGATCTATACAGGATATGTAAGTTTAATCAACACTTCACCGTAACATCAACCCCATCTTACTGTTGTTTTCCTTTATTCCTGATATTTATGATGATTTTCTTCTAGTGAAAACATGACATTTAAGATGAGAGTATTACAGAGTCATGGCACACTTTTTTATTTAAAAAAAAGTAAATACCTGCTAAATACTAAAGAGCTTCATCAGAAAGCATATTCTACTTTTTACATGAATGTAGAGTTGTAGAACTAATAGCAGCATTGATTTTTTTTTATTTTTCCCTCTGCAGGCTCCAGCACCAATGGCTTTTCCTATGACGACACCCCAAGTGCCTGTGTATGGAATGGTACAGTATAACTGTGAACCTTGCAGAAATAACATGTTCATAAAAAAATAAATAAATACTAAAACTCTTGTTGTCGCCTGTGCTTTAACCAGCTCCCTCCTCAGATGAGTCATCAAATGGGGGGTGTTCCCATGATTCCCCCACAGCCTGTCATGTACAACCAGCCTGTCCTGAGACCCACCAATCCCTTTGGACCCATCCCGGGTACACAGGTAACACAGACACAGAAACACCAGTGCAATGATGTAAATGCAACATAATCCACCAACTACTGAGACACAAAGCGGCTGAGACTGCAGAGAAAAAAATAATGTAGGGAGAAGACTTGTCTAGATAATGTCAAAAAAATGCTCTGCATATGTTGAGCTACTTTAGAGTCCCTGAAATATAAGCTTGTAGGCAATTTAACATCATCCAAAGCTTATCTAGAAATTTCCTCTGACACAAAAATTTAAACTCTGCCTCTCATATAAAAAAGAACAAATTTGAAAACATATTTTAGCCTTACAAAGGGCACTGAGTTCAAGTACAATGTGGCAATAACGATGTTGTTTGCAGGTGTTTTAAGGTTTCAAAGGTGCAAGAAAGATGCTGTTTTTACAGTTTCAGGCTACATTATGATATAAATGTATCAAAATCATTTCAGTATCATGAAATATACTGTCACAAATCTACCAAATATCAATCTAGATTAGTTTTTTCACTATGTGGAAGCATCCTAATGCATGTAAACACTAGGGGTTCACTAAATAACAATATAAACAATTATTAAATTAATTTACACGTTAAATAAAAGTAATCAGATCATGAATATATGTTAATGTTGTATTCCTTGCTTGTACGACAAAATTTGTATTTATTCAAGCTCCTGAAAAACCAAGAACAGTGATGCATTATTATAATGATGCAATAACAGGTGCAGTGCTTATGGGGACTAATGACTAAATGTTTAGAAATGTGTTATGTTACACGTTTTCCTGGCACTGCAGCAAGGAATGTGTTTATCGATATCAATAGTTGCCTGAAAGCCTGATGAGGTGTTTTGTTGGACTGAATTACTCTCATTTCTCCTCTTTGCCTTCTGCAGATGCATTTCATGTAGAGATGATGTTGTAACCATAGCAGCAAAGCTGAAAGAGAAGAGGCAAGAGAAAGATGGAAAAGAAAGAGCTGATGGCAAACACAAGTACAGAACCAAATCCAGTGCAGGAGGAAGAAAGAACGGCGAGGGGATTGGAGGACCGGAGCGGAGGATTAATAGAAGATGAAATGCTGATGTCAATTTATTGTCACTTCACCCTCTATTCTCCATGTGGCTACTGATTTGTCTGTCTTTAACCCAGTACAACCATGGAGCATCGGAGCCTCCTCATCAGTTCAGCCCAGCTTATCTTTGTTTGGCCTCTTCTAATGGCAATCACAGCCTATGCTGACATAGCAGAGACTGACAGCTATACGGAGGTTCTTCACCTTCTCCTGAGCCGCCCCTCCTGTTAATAACCAGTATGGGAACTTACCCACATCTCTCCCTATCCAACATCTGAATCAAACTTGGAGGGCAAACATCTCTTTCTCTGATTCGATCATTTGCTGGCACTTTACTCAATGTGAACTTTTGCCAAGGGTGTGTTTCTGCTTAGATGATTCTAGCATCTTGTTAAGATTGGTTCCTGATTGCTTGTCACCATCATTTGAAATCACAAGTGATTTGAATGCTTGCGGGTGTTAGCTTTTTTTCTACATTTCAGTGAGCAGCATCTTTGATCATTTGTTCTTAAATGCGTAAAACAATGATTTTTTGGGTATGCCTGTGTGGTTGTAAATGGACGTAGCGCTTTAGAGTTTGAACTTTGTGTGTGTGTGTGTGTGTGTGTAAATTATCTTTTGGTACCTGATGTCATGACTATGTTGCCGGGTGCCAATGTGTTACTGCACTGGAACTAACCGATGAAAGCACTGAGCCAGACCCAGCTATTGCATTTGGATGTAAACAGACCTCTCATACTAACTTTGCTACTTGGGGACTTACTGTACACACTGTTTCCTTCTTTGTTTCCCCTTCTGCAACTGTGCGATATTGTGAAACCTCATTAACTGTCTTTTTTCACACCTTTAGTCTGTTTAGAAGCTTTCTTCAACACTGTAATTTGTTTGTCCATGTTTTCTCTGTATAGAATTATTTTTCATTTTTCCTGCTTGTTTTTTAACCTTCTCTTGTATACCTGTACTGCTCTAATAGTGAAACATAGAAGGGGATTTTCAGTCTAACCAGTCAGAAATTGTTTAATTTTCTCTGTCTCCTAAATTAGTTACATTTTAAGTCTTGTTCACCTGAGAAAAACTGGATTTGGGGTAAGCAATTCAGTCTTTGTGCATCCTTTACCGAGAAGACTTGGGTTCATGAAGTCTTATCGTATACAAACAGGACAGCTTAAGGTCGTTGCGAGAAGTCCAGTGAACACCCAACCATCAGAAAGCGGCCGAGGGTAAAGTCTTCTGATCACAACCCTGCTAACGCCTGCAGTGATGGCGCACAGATCAATCCAGACAGCCCGAGACGAGGAGCCTTAATGAGGCATTAAACGCTAATGTGGATTTTCTGGCAGATCCAAGGTCAAGACAGACACAGTCTGATGATATATATATATACATATATTTATAGCACAAACCTTCGAAGAAGGAACAATGCTCTGCTGCACAAAAACCTTAAAATCATTGCTGGGATGTACAGTGAAAAGGGGCAATAATCGATTGGGGGTGAAGTCGTTTTCTATTGATTGTGTCTGTTCTATGTACATGTACTTTGTGTGTTTGTGTGCACATGCCTTCGCATAGAGATTAACAGGGTCATGTTCCTCGGTTAGAGATGGAGGGTCTCTAAGCGAGATGGTAGTGTGTACTAACTTAGCATTGAGTGTTCTTGTGACAGTGTCTGAGTCTGTACAACACATCAGCTGTAGGTGGATTGTTCGCCTGCTGAGTACAGTCAAACTGAACTCTTCAGACGGCGGGTTATTTCTAACCAAATCTTCAGAGAAGACCAAAAGTACGTTAGTGTACTGTGATTAAAGGTTAAAAATGAACCGATACCAGGCTCCCTGCACCTAAGACTCTACTACCAGCAGAGACTTGTGTTAGAAATCATCACCAAGCAGGCATTTGTTGTGAGGTTTCACCTATTTGACGAGTTCAGCTGTTGTTACACTCCTCCATCATTCTTGTTCCAGTGGTTTGTCCTTCTTCTTCAGCTGAAAGCTTTATTCAGTGAGTTATTCAGCTCCACGACTCAACCCACCCTGGGATCTGACTGTTACCGTGTCCCCACTGTATATAGGTAATGCTGTTCATGTGTTTTTAGCCGTGCTCTCTCTGTGAACGTGATCAAAGCCCCCATTGGATGACTTACTGTATGTTGGACAATTTATTGCTGTATCTGTGTTTGAATGGTTGTATTTTTGAAGGTGTCATCATCCAGGGATGGGCGGGTGGGCTTGGGTCGATGTTTGTGCTCTTTGTGTCCATCTCAAGGTGGAAGAGGGTGGGCGGGAGGGGTCAGGGGTAAACTATCACAACTGGTCAATACCAAGAGTGTCTTCATTGAAAAAAAGAGGACAGGACGGGGTCTGTCCTCTTTGAAACAGGAACATTTTTTGCACCAAAGTCATCATCAAAGCGCAGCTTCTTATCCAAGGTCACTAAGGATGGATGATATCAGAACTCCAAGGATTTTTTTTTTTTGGTTTGGTTCTTTTATTTTCTAAAGACAAACTAAACTGTCTCTTTTGCATGATTATGTGTCGTCTTTTTATTGGCTTGTGTGCCCGGTAAAAGCATGACCATAGTGTGAACTCACTCTTACCGGTGTGTTTGGAAAATGAACTTGCTCATTGAGACTTCTTTTTTTTAAACTTACCTCTTGACATTCATCATCAGCTGTTTTACGATGTAGGGTCTGTAACTGTTTGAAGGTTGCCTCGCATGGATCAATGCAACTTGCAAGTAACCCATCAAACTTCAAACCCAGTTACCACGACTGCATCTCTAAAACGCCATGGATGTCAATGCCGGTTACCACCTAACTAGCTAGACATTGCAGTCTTGTAAAAATTGCTCTTTATTAAAGCGTTGCTATTTTCAATACGTGTTTGAATGCTCGCTCCTTTTTCATATCAAGCCAGCAGTATCTTGGGAGGTTTGTGGTTCAAAGTACTGTAACACGTGTTTGGTCTGGTTCACGTTGTGTGGTGTTTCAAAGTGTTTGGGTGTCGTCCTGTCTACCATCAAATACCAAAATCCCAGTCATCTTCCACAATGCAGTGGTTTCCAGAAATGATTCACTGGAAGCTTTCAGTTTGCTTTTAACAATGAAGACAAAGCAAATCAGGAAAATAGCATTAACTATTGAGTTTAACATTGTTTTCCTTCAGCAAAGACTTTTTTTTAGCTATAGGAAATAACATATCTCTTAAAAGATTGCTGGCCAACTTTTTGGACATTTCAGGTTTTTTTGTTTTGTTTTTTTTTTTAGCAATTTATCTTGGAGTACATCTTTACCCTCCTTTACTCTTCAGATAGTTTCAAATTCAAGTCAGGGCTTTGACTGGGCCACTCAAAATGATTCGTACTTTCAGTCAGAGGAGATATGTTGGTAAAATTAAGATGACTTTAAAATCTGCAAAGGGTATAGGTAATCTTGGGCATAACTATAGATGAGCGAAATCAAATACTAACTAATGACAACCACACACCAGCCACTTTATTAGGTACAACTTACTAGTAGAATGTTGTACACCCTGTAAACATTCAGAACTATCAATTTAACACTTCTTGGCAAAAATATGCCTCATCGTAGCTTCAACTTTTCTGTTCTGAGCTGACAGAAGTCGTCTCCTGCTACTGTGACTCTTCACATTGAAGTTCAGAGATGATATTCTGTATGCCAGTGTCCTAACAGGCAGCTATTTGAATTATTTTTGCCTTTCTAACACCTTAAACCAGTCAATCCGTTCGTCTCAGACATCACAAAGGCTTTTTTGTGTCCAATCACAACTCATGATGGATATTTTTGTTTTTAACCAAAGAGAGGGTTGTGCATGAAAATTCCAGGATCAGCACTTCCTGAAATACTCAGGAACCCAACCTGGCACCAACAATTATGCCAAATTCAAAGCCAACTTTTTCCCCTTTTCTTCTTCAACAAATCGCTTCAAATGTCTAGATGCATAAATACATCGAGTTGCTGCCCTGCAATTGACTCGCTTGTTTTGCCAACATTTCATTGAACAAATGTACCTAATAAAGTGGCCATTGCATGTATAAGATCTAGTAATGTTGGACAAACTTATCGTGAAGTCCCTCTACAGATCGTTTCAACTTCAAGTCAGGACTTTGACTGAGCCTCTCAAAATAATTAGTAGCTCCTGTCAAAGGAGCTCAACTAAAGGTGAGCATAATAAAATACCAATCCAATAAAAATACTCTTACATTTTTTTTAGCAATTCCATTATTTTTGCCTTGTAAAAAATTATAAAATGTAATTTTATTAGTATGCAACAGATGACTATACAACCCTAGTTGATAGTATATCAATAAAAGGAATATTTCTACTTGACAAATACTCTACATGATTTGTTTGAAAGGCAAATAACTTTGGACTTCCCCCATTTGTCTGGCTGCTGGATACCTGACTTGCTTTTATTGGAAACTGCTGCGTTTTCATGTTGCTGAGTAGATTCCCCATTCTGTATCGGTTTTATATGTTAACTTACATGCATAAACTATGTCATCTTATTACCTCAGCATACCATTTGTTTATACTGCATTCAATACACTCATCCGGCCCCCTTGTGTCCATTTGTTAGCTGTTCATTGTTGCTGAGTGCATGAAACTCAGCAGTGTCTATGACAAACTCTTCCTTGCAGGGAGTAGGTTCTCGTTTAAATTTCTTCCAGCAATTTTTTTTTAATATTAAAGCGATCAAATTACCATCAGGTTTGGATTGTTTTTTTTAGTTTTTTTTTTTTTTATCTAAAAAGAGATAGATAAATGTTTTTTTGGAAGAACATTTAATAAAAACATCATCTGATGTTCATCTCCGAGTTATTCCTGTCAAAGCACAATCTTTACAAATATACACACAAAAATAATGCAGCTTGGTTGCAATTCATTTATTGATAATGAAACATTTCAAAGAACAAAAAGGACAAAATGTAATTTAAAACAACATGGTAGAATTCGTGTTCATTGTCATTCTTACAAGTTGAAAGTGGCATCAAAAAAGTTGTTTTTAGGAGACGGGGAGTCTAGCGTCGAACCAGCAACCGATCCTGAGCCAGGTTATTCAACTCTGAAATGGAGGGCTCTTCATCAAGGCACTTAACCCCAAAGTGGCCGCCAGGTCACATTTATTAAACCTAAAACATCCCAACCCACTGAAATGTCCCAAATCTGGTTCTGGTTGTGATTGCCTGGTATTCTTTAAGTGGCAGGTAGCAGTAAAAATAAAAT